AAACTATTAACGGTTCTCAACAAAATTAGACTAAAATTGGTAATTTGGTATCAATCAACAAGGCTATAATTGCTGAAGGGTCTCAAAGTCTTTGCATAAACCAATTATACATTAGAAAATATACAACATGCTTGGTTGACCTTACCAGATGGGCAATAACATCACAGTCACTGCCAGTACGGAACTTGTGATTTGTCAAGCGCTGCCTCAGTTCTTCATGGTTGTAAATCTCTCCATTTACCTGGTTTTTAGAGCTCACAAAGCATTAACAACAATCCAATTGGAAAAAAAAAAAAAAAAAAAAAAGCTTTTTTTTTTCTGCACCAACGATAGAACACAATAGTACTACACATGCGCAAGGACACACATAAACTGCAATATTGGAAAACAACAAAAGATATAAAGGAATGTGCCCCTTTGCCTCTTTTGAAAAGGCCCCTTTGCCTCTTGAATGTACCCAAAAGAAGAAAATTATAGCATAGAAAATACAAAGCAGACCTAACTTCGTTATGATGGCTAATAAACTACATACCGTGACGGCGATGGTTTTGTCTTCATTAAAAAGAGGTTGATCCCCAGAAGCAGGATCAATTATCGCCAAGCGTTGATGGGACAAATAACAATCTCCATGCTGGTAGAGACCGCTCCAGTCCGGGCCACGGTGCTTCAATCTGTTACAACAACAGTAGGCATATTCAAACGGTCCCACATAACTTATATGATTTCAGCATTTAGATATTATCATTGCGTCCATTTCTATCCATTATTCAACGCAAAATTGACACCCGTATTCTTATATTTAGTACTATATATTGCTTTCCAAATCAAGTTGCAATTTTTTTCAAGTTGGAAACTTTGAACATCTTTTGGTCCAGTCTAGATCTTCATCATTTACGACTGCATTATAATTAACTGTTGAAATGCCACTGAGAAGAAACATATAATTTCATTAAAAAACACCATAATTAGATTTTCCTGGGAAACAAACATGGGGAGATCAAAACTTCAAAAATTGTTTCTATAAAGCTAAAAAATAAAAGAATAAAAAAATTGATGCTTGAAATGTGAAAGATAAAAAGGAGGAGGAAATAAAAGATTGCCTGCGGGAAAGCTCCAGCACACGAACCCTCTTGGCCTGAGAGTCATCGGAGCAACCCAGAACGGCAAGAATCCCACACATTTTCTTTTGCACCAAACAAACCCACCCCAGAAAAAAGGGAAAAACAGAAGATTTGACGAGATAGAGAGGAAAAGGCGAAGCCTTGAATTGATCAGGAAAGGAAGCAGAGAAGGTGGTGCGGCAAAAAGAGGAAGATGATGAACACGTATTTGTGTTTGAGCACCTCTATCCAAAGCCACGTATTTATAGGGAAAAAGTCATGAGTTAAGCCCTCCAACTTATCTCAAATTTCCAATTAGGTTCTTATACTTTTACATTTAATAATTTAGACAACTTAATTTTTTCATGATGGATTGATTGTTTATTTATATTTTATTTAAGTAGATAAAATATTAATATATTATTAATTACATGATATGCATTTATCTTATTCAAGCAAATAAATTACAAATAAATATTAAGTTTATTATAAAAAATTAGATTACTCAAATTATTAAATTTAAGAGTTTATTTATTAGGGTTAGTGAATATCAATCTTTATTTTCAAAAATAATTAGAGTCTTAATTTATATTTAAAAATTAAAATTTTATCTTATTAAATATTGATATTTAGATTTAGAAACTTATTATTTAGGGTTAGTGAATATCAATCTTTATTTTAAAAAATAATTAAAGTCTTAATTTATATTTAAAAATTAAAATTTCATCTTATTAAATATTAATATTTAAATTTAAAAACTCATTATATATTATAATATAATTAGTTTATAAATTTAAATATTAATATTTAATAAAATAATTTTTAAAATTTTGAATTAAATTTTAATTAGATAAAATGATATAATTTAAGATTAAAACTCTAATTATTTTTGAAAGTAAAGATTGATATATATTTTTTCTTTATTTGTTTTAATAAAAATGTAGAAGTTTAATTAAGAATTTAGGATAAGTTTAGAGGGCTTAATATTGAATTTTGCATATTTATAGTAGTGGCCCATGAACACATCTTCATTGGCCCCGCCCTAGACGGCATCGTTTTTCCACTTCTCACGCCGGTCAGCCTTTCCAGTTGTGGTCCACTCTCCCCCACATTATTCTGGAGCCACGTGGCTAGAGAATGTTGAAATTTTGAAATTTAATTTTTAAATTTCCCATTTTTAAGGTGAGAATTATCCGTTTGAGGGGTGATGCGAGAATAACCTTTTTAATATTTTTTTAATATAATTTTTATGTATTATTAAATAAATAAATAAATTTAATATTATGAGTCTATATAAATTAAAAAAATAATTATTTTAATGATATATTATATTATTAAAAAATAAGAAAAAAATAATACAAAAATTATTTCTCTATCACTCTATCCATTTAGGTGCTGAGTCAGCAGGACAGGTCAAAATCATTGCAACAGACTTCTGCATCCGTCCACGTGTCGCCATCCTGGAAACGGTCCTTTCTGAATTCTGACTCGGATTTGATGGAACGCGTTGTTGAATCTGAGCCGTTGATTAAATCTAAACCCCTACACTTTTGTTTTTATTGTTTTGTTGGTTATCTAATATACTTCCAAAAACTGTATGACAATTATTGAGATGAGATGATCGAATCATCGCATATATTGAAGAAGGCGACGTGAAGTTGAAAATAATGGAGACTTTTGATTAAAATAATGGTACTGATGGGATGGATTATTATGTCGATAAAGAAAAAAGAATTTATTATTTAAAAGTTTTATATATATATTTTTATAAAAATATATACTTAACAAATGTTTTAACTTTTAAGCATATGTTAGAAACATCCTTATTATTTTTTTTTTTTGGCAATTTGTGTTACATTTTTTTGTTTTGTTTGTTTATTAGTGGCGGTGGGTTGGGACTTGGGGGGTAAGTTTTAGGTTGAAAATTAAATTACTAATAAATTTTTTGTTATTTTGGAATCAATTGTCATTTTTGTTGCAAAATTTGATCATGCAAATGATGAGACCAAAAAAACGAAAATGATGAAGCCAAAGAGAGCTTCTTCTTTTTTTTTTTAATACTTCAGTTCAAAAATGTCATTATTTCAATTATTGATATTATTAATATTTTAAAAAGTACTTAACGTACGGTTGTATATTAAATATTTTATTTATACAAATTATGCCATTTATGTCAATTTTGCATTATCAATGTATATTTATTCATGCTATTATCATGAAAATATATTGTTAATAAATATTGTAAACCGCATTTGGTCCTTGAGGCCTAGTGGCAATAGTCACCCCGGTGCATTCTCCCTCCCCTGGGCTGGGTTCGAAATCCGCCCCTTGCAAATATGTTCAAAAAATAAATAAATAAATAAATATTGTAAACCATTAAAAAAATATATGGTCAACAAATCATCCTCAAGATAAAACTAGACCACATGTTCAAGAATGTTTTTAATTTCTACCTGAAATACTTCATCTTTAATTAATTTTAATAGTTAAATCACCCTTGATTTATCTATTTATCTTTAATTAATTAGATAATAATGCACAGATAATTTATTTATTATTTATAATTTATATATGTTATTGAGTTTCCAAAAAAAATTTATATAATATTATATAAATAAATATATATAATATCATAAATCTAATATAATGGAAAAAAATTACTAAATGATATGTAAAATTATATTAAAAAATTATATACTAAAAATCATGTCTTAATTATTCCTAATTAGTTTTAATATCTAAATTAATTATTGTTTCATTTAGTCAATATACATATTACTCATCTAATAGACATAAATATTACGAGTTTTCATTGTAAAAAAATAATAAAAATTTATAAAACAACAATCAAGTTCATATTTCACGTCTTATAAAGAGATCCTAACATAATTATTATGATATAAAATAATGAATTTCATTCTAAAAACTATGTTGGGCGAATTATTTTTCATACTCTTGTGTGAAACTTTTAGTAAATATATAAATTGACTACCTTAGGGAAAGTCTACTAATGTTATTATTTTGTATTTTTGTTTTATTTCTTTTATTTCTGAAAATCAATATGATAAAAAAAAAAATGGTAGGCAAAAAAGCAAGAAGACATAATGGACCCATGGGACCGTTGTTATGTACGAAGAAAAGAAAACCTTTCTTTTTGCTGCTTGCTTACGTAGTATGTTTGATATTCCAAGTTGAGATAAGTAAATAATTTCTCCCTCAATATATATATATATATATTTAGGAAAAGTGCTTATCAATATTATTTTTTAAAGATTGTCCAGCATTTGGAGGTCAACTAGCCTCTGCAAAATAGGACGTGCTTCGAATTAGTTCAACTTGAGTTTAATCTCAAGTCTTCTCTTCCCCATCTCTCAAAGAAAAATTTTCATTGTTTTAAAAAAAATTATTATTTTTTAAAGATTAAGAAAAAAATTATCTTAAATTACATCGTTTCAATAAATTTTTATTGAAAAAAATTAAATTATTATATTTTTAAAACATACATTAAGATAATTTTCTTTTTAATTTTTAAAAAATAAGACGAACAAACACTTACCCTTATATATTTTATACCGAGTAATTCAACATTATTTTCAAAGAAAATGATTGATAGCAATGCATTATATATTTGTGCAGTACACGTTGTTCTTTGTCATTTTTTGTTTTTTATTGTTTAGTCGCGACCTCCTCGTGTTATCTGATTAGAATATGCCATTAGATTCGGAAAGGTTGGTACATCAGAAATGATTCAGGGGTGGGCAAATGCCGATTTCGATGAAAACCGATGCTGAAAAGTAACTAGCGGACTTTTTTTTTCCTCTTTTTTTTTTTTCATGACAGAAACCAATAACGGAATGCTTTTATTTTTTCAGTATTGGATACCGAAAATTTCGATATTGGATACCAACAATTTCAGTATACCAAAAATCTTCGGTATGCAATACTGAAAAAATATAAGGATTCCGTTATGGGTTTCTGTCATGAAAAAAAGAAGAAAAAAAAAGTCCATTAGTTACTTTTCGGTATTGGTTTTCACCGAAATCGGCATATGCCCACCCCCAGAAATGAAGTATTGTTACATCAGACATTGGTAATGTTATTGATAATGTTATTGTCGCATTTAGTATTATTAATATTATTTTTTTATTGTATGGATAAAAAATATATATATATAATGTAAAATTGTATGAGTAAAATAAGTATTTACATTAAAGAGAATATGATGTTAATTATTTAAAATGTAGTAATAATTTTATCTCTTATATACAAA